CCCGGTCTTCTGTCATCAGGAACGCATTTTAGCAGAAAAACCAGACATGTATTGCTGTTTGCAATGTGGATCTCATTTGTCCTGTTTTGTGTGCAAGTTTTGTAATACTTCTTAAATAGATTTCACAGCTGTCTCTGAAGCCCTTGCTGAAGATGTGGGATAAAAGAGGGAAAGCAGCGCTGGGCGGAGGGCAAGCGGAATTCAAGTGTCCAACACTGTAAAGTAGGAAAGTGCTCAAGGGCTTCCTGCAGATCTTAATATGTACAGCGACATGAGGCAGAGAAGGATATTGAAGTCATGTGTTTTTTTAAAACTGCTGCCGTTTAAGGTGCCCATTCCACAATGGGTGCAGATTTATTTGTGTGTAAACGAATTCAATTCTTGTGTTGTCTGCTGGGATGCTGGCTCCGTACCCATTTTGGCATTAGCCCTTGCTCCTACTCTTAATTCATCCCTTAGGTCCTGGGAGGTCCAGGTCAGAGGGCGTAACTTCCCAGCCAAACTGACTTTCCCTGTAGAGATGGTGTACCTTATGACTGATTGCACAGTTGCTGGCCTTCCCCATGAGAGTTTGGTGTAGTGGTTAAGTGCGCGGACTCTAATCTGGGAGAACTGGGTTTGATTCCCCACTCCTCCACTTGCAGCTGCTGGATGACCTTGGGCAAGCCATGGTTCTGATAAGAGCTGTCCTTGAAAGAGCAGTTTCTGTCAAGAGCTCTCCCAGCCCCACCCACCTCACAGGGTGTCTGTTGCGGGGAGGGGAAGGGAAAGGAGTTTGTAAGACGCTCTGAGACTCTTGAGTGAAGGGCGGGGTATAAATCCAATCTCCTCTCCACCTGGCTCTTTACCCAATCTCTGGGTCACAGTTTCTGTGGGCCACAGGGCTCAGAAAAAGTTGGCTACCTTATGCATTGAAAGACTCACTCCTCTCTTTCTCTCTCTGCAGGCCAGCACAGATGCAGGGACAGCAGGAACCCTGACTCCTCAGCATGTTCGTGCTCATTCTTCTCCAGCCTCACTGCAGCTGGGCACTGTCTCTCCAGGGACACTCCCCCCCACAGGAGTCATTTCTGGACCTTCGCCTTCTTCTCAGCATCTTCGCCAACCATCTTTTGAAATTCCCGACGATGTGCCCCTACCACCCGGCTGGGAGATGGCGAAAACTCCTTCTGGTCAGAGATACTTTCTGAAGTAAGTGGGCTTTTGCTTTCCTTTACGAAGGAGGGAGGGGAGCAGTGGTGGTGGGAAGTGCCGTCAAGTCGCGTCTAACTTATGGCAACCCCGTAGGGGTATAGCGACCCTGGGCTTGCTTATTTCCCATCCAAGCACTAAACCCTATGGGGTTGCCATAGGTCCGCTGTGACTTGACGGCACTTTAAACTCGGGGGTTGCCGTAAGTCCGCTGTGACTTGACGGCACTTTAAACGCACAGTTCTACTAAGATGCTACGATCTTCACACAAAGCAAGTGTCATTGTAAGTATTTGCTCGAGGACAGAAGGCTAATTTCTGTAGCATAATCAATATAGTAATTTTGAGAGCCAGTTTGGCGTAGTGGTTAAGTGCGCGGGCTCTAATCTGGGAGAACCGGGTTTGATCCCCCACTCCTCCACTTGCACCTGGCTGGATGACCTTGGGCAAGCCACAGTTCTGTCAGAGCTGTTCTTGAAAAAGGGCAGTTCTCTCAGAGCTCTCTCAGCCCCACCTACCTCACAGGGTGTCTGTTGTGGGGAGGGGGAGGGAAAGGACTTTGTAAGCCGCTCTGAGACTCCCTTGGGTAGTGAAGGGCGGGGTATCAATCCAATCTCCTCTTCGTCTCTTTCCTCCTCCTAAATCAGGGATGACCCTGCTTAGCTTCCAAGATCTGACAAGATCAGGCTAGCCTGGGCCATCCAGGGCAGGGCAGGGGGACAGTGGTGGTGGTCGCAGCCGGCTTCCAGCAGCCCCGTAAGGTTTTCAAGGCAAGAAACGTTCCAGGTTGGTTTGCCATTGCCTGCCTCTGTGTTGGTGGTCTCCCATCCAGGTATTAACCAGGGCCGGCCCTGCTTCGCTTGTGAGGTTTAATGAGATCCGGCTAGCCAGGCTACTCCAGGTCAGGGCAAGGGAATGGTAATAGTCACACATCAATGCATTTTCAGGGTGTTTTTTAAGAGCCTGTACCTAAGAATGTGTTCATTGAAGACTTTGCTTACCTTTACTGGAGGCAGACAACTGGTTTGACAGTGCCAGCCGTATTGCAAATGTATTGAGCTGCAGGGTCAGCTTGCGGCTAGCTTGCACATTTTAATTCCACGAAACTTAATAAATCACTCTTATGGGTGTGCACAGTCCTTGAATGTTCTTGGTACTTAACTGGCTGCGTGAGGGCGAGACGGTAGCTGTCGCCCGACTTGCACCGCCGGGGCTCTCGGTCCTCCATCAATCACGGACTAGGGGGCAGGGGGGAGGCGTGGCTCTATTCATTCGGGAGGCTTACTCCTTCAGGGCGCTCCCGCAGGTAGAGATCACGGGCGTTGAGTGTGTCGGTGTGATGCTGGAGGCGGAGGAGAGTTTGGCTATTTGGTTGGTGTACCAACCGCCTAACGCGCTGGCCAATAGTCTGCCATCCCTGCTGGAGGCCGTATCAGGCTGGGCGCTGGAGCACCCTAGCCTTAATTGTCTTGGGTGTCTTCAACGTTCATGCTGAGGACGCGACCTCCAGTCGGGCTGTGGATCTAGTGTCGTCCATGGCGGCACTGGGACTCTTCCAGTCTGTCTCGGCACCCACACATCGGGCCGGTCACATGCTCGATTTGATCTTTGCGGCAGGGGTTATGGTGGACCGGATTTCTGCCTTGGCACTGCCATGGTCGGACCACCATGCCCTGAGGGCCCGTCTGAATGCTCCACGCCAACCCTGTTTAGGTGGCGAGCTGGTTTTGGCTTGCCAGCGAAGTCAGATGGACCCGATGCGGTTCCAGATGGCTCTGCGGGATCCGAGGCCCCCTTGGTGGTTCATTGGATGAGCTGGTGGAGGATTAGAATTGCCAACTCTCCTCAGCCATCATGAGATTGCTCCCAGGCGCCCTCTCCGCACTCGTGATAGGCAAGCACCCTGATATACCCAGGGGTTGCGGCGGCTGAAGCTAGAACTGAGAGGGCTAGAGAGACGGTGGTGTCGTGCTCGCGACGAAGGGTCAAGAACATCCTATAGGATGTTTATGAGATCCTATGAGATGGCAGTCAAGGCCGCAAAGGAAGAGTTCTATGCGACCTCGATTTCATCTGCCAGCTCTTGCCCGGCCCAATTATTTAGTGTAATTCAGTCTTTGACAGCTCTGCCGCAGGGCAGGCAAAATGCTAGGGAATTGGATTTAGGCTGTGAGGCATTTGCGAGCTATTTCACAGATAAAGTCTTGGCACGACCTCCCCGCCACAATTGAAACAGTTAGGGAACTTGAGGCCCCTTGCACATCTTTGGTGCCGGGTTTAGTGAGTTTTGACCCACTCAGCCTGGAGGAAGCTGACAGGTTGCTCGTATCTGTGCACCCAACCACATGCGACCTGGATCCGTGCCCCTCCTGGCGTATTAAAGCGGGCCACGAGGGAGATTGCTAACAAGTCCCTCATTGAGGGACGGTTCCCCGGAGCACTCAAGGAAGCAATGGTCCGCCCTCTCTTGAAAAAGCCATCTTTGTACCCGGCCGAATTGGCCAGCTATCGGCCGGTTTCCAATTTGCCCTATTTGGGCAAACTCATTGAGAGGGCAGTGGCATCACAGCTACAGGGCTACCTGGATGAGGCTTCCGTTCTCGATCTCTTCCAGTCCGGCTTTCGCCCGGGTCACGCATCCAGGTTAGGGCTTTTTTTCTTACTAGTTAGGAATGGAATTGGAGGGAGGAATGATCGTTCCCCCCTCCTCATTTCTGATCCATTTGCTGTCACATTTTTAAGGAACTGTGGGGGTTAGAGAACTTTGGTGTGTAGCTTTAAAGAATCCGCAACCAGTTAGGTGTAGTAGTTAAGAGCGGTGGACTCTAAGCTGGAGAACCGGGTTTCATTCCCCACTCCTCCTCCACAAGCTGGGTGACCTTGGGGGCAGTCATAAGTTCTTTCAGAGCTGTTCTCTCAAGAGCAGTTCTCTCAGAGCTCTCTCAGCCCCACCTACCTCACAGGGTGCCTGCTGTGTGGAGAGGAAGGGAAGGAGATTGTAAGCAGCTCTGAGACGTGTGAAGGGCAGGGTATAAATCCAGCTCTTCTTCTTTCTAAACAGTAACAACAACAGTATATAGGTTGTGCTTATTTGCCCGTGCCTTCTCTTAAGCTCCTCTGATTGCAGGTTTGCCATACATACTTTCTGCACCTGTGTAATTATATGATCGGATGGAGATCTCAGATGCGAGGTCCTTAAAAACACAAGGCTTCTGGTGCACAGACAGTTCATCCAGAGGAAGATTTACCAGACTGGTGCCATAAGCAGAGAGCAGAAAAAGGCGAATCTGCCCTGTTTTCAAATGTATATCGACCGGTTTTGAGGCCTATACAGTTGTAATGGCTAGCTGTCATTTTGAGAGTGGGCTGCAGGACGGGATTAGAGTGTAAGAGAGGCGTTAGAGTTTAGGAGCGGCCCTAACCCCAGGGTGGGTGTAGTCTGCAGGGGTGGAAAATGGTCAGTAAAATCAGTAAAAGACAGTTTTTTCATCTTGGTCAGTAATTTGTCAGTTTTTTAAAAAAATTGGTCAGTAAAGTCAGTATTTCTTTGATTTTTGTGAATGCAGTTTGTGTTTTTCTGTTTTCATTACTGCATTTTTGGGGAAACATGATGACTTCCCAGTGAGAAGACAGATTGTTTTCAGTTTAGGTATGAAGTACTTTAAGGACTTCGTTCCTAAGAGTAACAATGATTTGGTGAAATCTTCCACAAAATATAGAAACATAATTAGCCTCTTAAAACATGAGGCAATGAAAGTAGAGGTGATCGATATTGTGGGATTCAACATGACACAGCTCATGCTAGAAGGAGTTGAGAAAGCAATGGAAGGAAGAGGACACGGGGGAAATGCTTGTGGATGCAGTGCAGAAAACTGTTGAGAAACGAAAGAATTCATGAATAACCTTATTTATTTATTTATTCCATTTATACCCTGCTCTCCCCGCCGGAGCGGGCTCAGGGCAGCTTACAAAGAGATTAAACATATAGGTAACAAATTATATACAATCTTAAAACAAACAATAAAACTGTACATTATCATAAAGTGCTAGTAAGTAATCAGGTACTTATAAGAATGCTTATAGAAGGCAGAACCAATACTAGTGTTGTAATCAGATGATCTATATTGGTGGTTGGCTCATCTTGGTCTCTATATCTAGGCAGCAGCACAGGCTGCTGGTGGTAAGCCGAGGACCAGGGCACTGTCACTTCTCAGTTATTTGATGTTATTTGGT